CCATAGGGGCGTGGGGGTTACAGGGAGGCCCCAGGAAAAGAGATTCGTAAAAATGGTGGAAGAAGCCATTAGCCATATGCCAAGTTGACGAGTGTAACATCTGACTTCATCAGGAAAGGTGACGATATGTACAATCGACGAGATCGTTTACTAAACACATATCTGATAAATGCTTATTTATAAGGTTCAACATTACCACTTACTTTATCAGATAAGATTTTAATTCATTAAAATGGAATCGTCTGCAACAATTTATCCAATAAACGCTAACTGGGTAAAAGCCGTCACTTTTCACTTATCATGTAAGACTCTCGGTTCTTATCATCGTTCTTACCTGATAAGATTATTAGTCATTGTCATGATCATTGGTAAAATAATGTGACTTGGAAAACACTTACCACTTTACCGGGTAAGCGTTTGGTAAACGACCTCAAAGTCTCAAGTCTTAGGGCTCACACCGAGGTCGTGTCGATTTTCAAGACCCGACTTAAATATCACGTTACCATGGTTAACACCTAATTGTACGGACATTTATATTTGAAATAAAAAGAGGGTTTCTATGTTCGTTTTAAGAAAGAAAAAGAACGATTTAATTGTAAAAGAGACGATATATACTAAAAAGAAGAAACATGTCGTATGAGGAGACTAAAAAGGCATTGTAGTGTGTGGTACACTGTGCACCTATGGTACTCTTTAACTGTATTCTTTTTATAACTTTTAACCGTTGACTGATTAATTCTTGAGGATATTTGAGTTCAATCACGTTATTTAAATTAGGGTTAAACTCATCGACAGCCGCCTCATGGGTTTTAAAGGAATCATGAAATCATATATTAAAGTAAAAAACATGTATTATTTTTGACATAAGTTATAATAAAAGACGATAATATCAACCAAAGTAAATAGAATAACGTGCGGTTATTAGTACAGTGGTCACCAGTTAGGATTTTATTGTGTTATTTATGACCCCATGTTACATGAAAATCATACCATTTATTACTCTTTACCTTTAATAAAGATTAAAAGTATAAAAATATAATGAACAATTTTCAACTCTATTTTGTTTGTTAATCGAGGGTGTTTTTTTTTATGTTATTAATCTGGATATCTAACCCGTTATGCGAGCCGACTAATCTCAGGGCGACCACTTGCTTTGCAGATAGCCCGGAGTCATTACATTTGAACCTCCATGGCTACAAGGGGGTATTTATTCCTCCATGGATTTGAACCCGGGACCTCCAGGTACTTTTGACCTTTGGAGCCATGCTCAAACCAATCAGGCACCACCCTTGTGGTTTTTAATCGAGGGTGTTTCAACCAACTTGTGTATATCTTGATTAATTTTGGTGTTTCAACCAGCTTGTGTGTATCTTGATTAATTTTTAAGGATTTTGAAAAACAGTCAGAAAAATCTTCAATAGCTTTACAGAACTTGAACCGATGACCGCTAAAAAGAATTTCAAAGGACTCAAGACTTGTTAAGAGTCGAGTTAAGCCCTCAAGTGTAATGATGAATATATATTTTTTAATTAATGTAAAATAAACTTTTAAATTTTCTTATTTTCTAATTTGTACCATTTTGATTGATAAAAACTAATTTTTATACATTAGGTGATTTAGGGGCCGTTTACTAAACGTTTATCCAGTAAGTGCTTGTCGGGTAATTTTCTTTGCCAGATGAACATGGTAAGGGTTTAGAATCTTACCCGGTTAGAGCGGTAAAAAGATGGAGAGTCTTACTCTGTAAGAATGGTGAAAGGATGGAGAGTTTTACCTAGTAAGTGAGAGTGACGACTCTTACTCAGGTAAGTGCTTACCAGATAAATTGTTGCATACTATATCGTTTTGATGCACTATAATTATCTTACCCAGAAAAATAAATTATAGTATTACTTCTATCGGTAAGTACTTACCGAGTAAGTATTTAAGTAAACGACCCCTTAATGATGACATGGAAAATGCTTTCAAATGCAACGAGGTTTCTCTTAGTTCCTATTTAGTATAACGGTTGAATTTGTTTTTTCAGTCCGACCTAACATGCATTTTCTAACAGAGTTAGTTAAAGGAACGAAAAGCAATACAAGTTGTAAACAGTAGTGACGAAAAAACCTATAAATGACAAGACAGGGACGAAAATGTTTTCGGACTCCCGTACCATATCTTATATCGAAACCCTTTTGAATATGACCCTTCAACACAATTAAACTCATTTATGTGTAAATGTGTTTATTTAAGTCATATATAATAATGATTTTCAAATTGATAAAAAGATTTTTAAAAAAAACTAGAAAAAAAAAACAAATAGATAAAATCATTAAAAAAATCAAAATATATTTAATTTACTAGAAGGGTACTTGTGCAATGCAACGAGATGTATCTCGGTTTTAATTTTTCGTATAATTTCTTTAATTCAATTTTTTTATAATTTAATTTAGGTTTAATAACGAAGTAATTTATTTTTGATTTAATAATATAATATTTTATAAATATAATAATTACGTATTCTGTTAGAACTCAATGATTATCTTAATTATATTTTAATTTTTTTATATTTAAAATGAAAAAATTATCTTGTATTTGATTATGTTTATCTGCAGCTAGTTACAAGAATTTTAACATGAAGATTTAATAAGTTATACTTATGCACAATTTACTTGTACTCTTGAATGTTAAGTAATATGCATCAATAAACAGCACGACGCTCTAACCAACTGAGCTAATAGGCCATCTTGACATTAATTTGGCATGACTTTTATATATGGTTTATTTATATCCAATACTTTTAACCCACCCATGGCTCACCGCAGCATGGTAGCCATTTGATTAGCCAAAAAGACCGGTCCCACCCTGGGCTTTCTACTAACAGATTCTTAAAAATGTAAAAAATTTGAGATTTTGGACTAATTTTTTTTATCGAAATAATTAATTTATCCCATTAAATTCATTTTTTTGCTACTTTTTTAATTAAAATTTTAATTTTATTCAAATTTTGTGCAAATTTTTTATGCATTTACTTAAACTCGATTTTCTAGTATGAAATTTGCATAATGATCCACATTTACATAAAGATTTTATTTTATTTTATTTTTAATATGAAAATAGATTTTGCACATGTGTAAGGTTTTTTGCGTAAACTCCGGCTAAAATGGAATTTCGGTTCCAAAAGTGAGTAAAAGGTGAATTTGGTTGAGGAATTTGACTATTTTCGTCAATTTCCTAATTTTTAATATAATATGTTTTTAAAAAACTTTGTCCAAAATGAAAAAAAAAAAAGTAAGAAAGACAATAAAATTCTTTAAAAACGATTTGCTTCCGAGAGAGAAATGATTTTTCATCATTTCCATTAATAAGAATCTTTGAAATTAGATGTTTAAGTGAGAAAAATATTATTTTATGAAATGAATTAAATATTTTAATAATATAATTAATATTATTCAAAATGGAAAAGCTGGAGGAACTGTAATTTATTCTGTAGATTTTGATTTTTGATTATTCATTTTAGAATTTTTTTTCAAAGATTCTGTTAAAAATGCTCTAATACCCAAATGTTCCTTGCCTAGCTTTTTATTTATACTGTATTATAAAGCATTTGACAAAAACTCTTAAAAACAATTTTTTATGCATAAAGTATTGTTTATTGATGCATATTACTTAAAATTTAAAGTTACAAGTAAAACGTGCATGAGTACATCTTATTAAAGCTCCATGTTTGAATTCGTATAACTAAGTGTAAATAAACATAATCAAATACATGATAAACATCATTTTAAATATAAAAAATCTATAATATAATTAAGATAAGGGGAAAATCACCAAAATAACCATTTTATACAACCCACTATAACAAAATAACCACTTTTTAGACACATTGCAAAAATAACCACACGGATCCCCCCCCCCCCCCCCNCCGGGAGCGATCCGTACTATTGGGGGTGATCCGTACTATTCATAAAGGAAAAAAAAATGTTGGTGGGTCCCATTTTAATCCAAAAAGAAGATATTGTTGGTGGGTCCCATTTAAATTGTATTTTTTAACTTTTTTTAAACAAATTTCATGAGTAAAGGTTTAAAAATAAACCATGATAATTATGAAGACGCAAAAATTATTTTTATCTGATTTGGGTTTCGTAAATCAGATATAATATCTGATTTACGAAATTTGACCTCTATTTCGTCATTTTGTGTTTTTGATTTGACAATTAAGAAGTGTGATAACCGAATCATGATTATCACCAAAGGTAAATAATACATGATTATATGATTTAATAATTTTGTGACAATATGATAAGTTGGTATATAAAAATTATGTGCATAATATATGCATATGATATGTGTTTATGTGTATGCATGTATATGTATGCATGTATGTGTTAGTAAATATATGCATAGGTGTATATGAAGATTTATATGCATACACGTGGCCTTGTAAAGTAACTGACTTTCCATTTTGGGAAGCTATAAAAAGGGGGTTTCAGCCTCCATTCTTGGCTGCTTGCCTCTTTGTTCAATTTTGTGCGATTTAAAAGAAGTAAAGTGACCGGATATCTTGTTTGGAAAAGATTCAAGTGTTGGTTCTCAAAAGCTTTATAAGGTGAGTGATTCTAAACCTTTTTGTATAAAATTGATACTGGTTTTTAGTAGAATGTTGTTTATTGTTAGATTGAAAT